ACATCCCAGGGCAAAAATCACATCCCCCACATCATGTAGACAAGCAGGTGCTGAACCCTCTACCAGAAAAGTTACACAATGCAACTTCAACTGTAGCTTTTTCTTCCATTGTTGTACCATAAATAAATATTGCTTACATTAGACAAAGAGACACATTCTCCATTGTCAAAGTTTGGAGTGATCCATGCTGCGGTGGTACTGTCAAAAGTAATTCTCACATAATAGTGCACAGAGAGGGTGCATTCACACGCTACATGTTCACACGTGTTTGTGTCCATGGAGTACCTGTGCACTCAGAGGGAATAGTACTGTATGTGGGGGATACAATGTAACACTTCAGTCATGACACGTATGGATAGAGCAAACCTCCCAGGAATACTGTTATATACTGTAGATCAGACACAATGACAAGGAAAGAACCATCATCATCATCATTAAAATTAATCTATAGGTCTATATACTTTTTAATAGTTCAGTGGTTCCCAGACTTTGGTATGAGATTCCTCTGTAGTTCTAATATTTGCTTAATTTAGTTCTGAAATTAGAACTATTTTAGCCTTAGGACATAAAATAGTTCTGTTTTAGACCAGGTTTAGATCTGATGGTCAGAAATTTTATTTGATGTTATGTGGTGTGAAAAGTTTGAGAACCACTGGGTTAGTCATTACAATGGAATAACTCTTAAAGATGCACTGTGTAACTTTTCTGGGGGAGGGTCCATCACCTGCTTCTCTCCATGGAGTTATTGCCTAGAATGTCCCACAGTGTTAACCAGACTGGTGCCACCTAGTGCCTCAGCTCAATTTCATTTCTCTCATCGAAGAGCTGTGAAGCCATGACTGGGTCCCTTTTTGTGGTACAGTACAACAGTAAACAAAGCAATCGAGATGGATGTAGATGGAGCCATACATGCTGCGTCGGCAACAATTCCCGAGATAGAGGATTTAAAGCCGGAACAAAGAGAATGTTTGGTGAATTTCATCAAGGGGAAAGACGTTATTGCCCTTCTTCCTACAAGATTTGGGAAAAGCTTAATATATCAGTTATTCCTGTTAGTGGTGCATTACACACGTCATGACCAAATAGCAGCGATTGGTTAAATAAAACAAAGTACCCGCCTACCGTTGAGTGAACAAATCCTAATGCTGCGAGGTCAGATGGTTTCCACGAAGTGAAACTGGCTGAAGAATCAGGCTACCACAGGATGGCATTGCACATATTAATCACTACAGAAACATCAAAGGGCCAGGTTACATGTCAGACCTACGGAGAGGCAAGTCCACTCACAGTAAGAATGCAAGTTTTAGTAAATGACTTGAGTAAATGCAAGATGGATACGTTTAATGCCATACCGGGACAAAACTAAAACATCTTCATAAAGATAAACACGCTTTACACAGTGCACCTTTAATGTTTGTTCAATAAGAAAAATATTCTGTTTTTATATCATTATCATATCCATATCATATTGCTTGTTTTCATTTTCCTTATTTTGACCACATAATTCCCCACTCAATGCTACACTTGGTGGGACCACGTTATAAAATATATGTATATTATAGAACACCTTTACAGTTTATTTATATATTTCCCCATCCTGTTACAAACTATTGTGCCTTTTAAAACTTTCTTCAGAGTTATCAGTAAGCCTCAGAGTATTAGCCCTATGCAAACTTACATACACACAACACAACAAAAGAAGACCACCTCAGCCATTTCAGGACACTTTCTGTTTAATATTATTTAGAAACAGCTTTTTGAGTCTGGCATTGTTTGATAACCACACACAAACCATTGGAGTTACACAAAGGAAAAAAATGAACCGAATAAAAGGTACACACAGGGCGGTTTTTCCGGGTAACAAGATTGGCAGGAAATAAGAATGGATAGAAAAATAACAGGATGCTGGGGTTATGGTGCCGTTAACTGCCTGTCTGGGACGAAAAGTGAAAAAGACTGAAAAATGAATAGTCTTCATTATAAATAAAAAATATCACGCTCCCTTATTTTCAGGAGACAGAGTCAGTCCTCCATTACGAGTCTCCATATTTTCTTTTTGTTGTTTTTGTGCTTTCATTTTCTATAAAAGTAATCCTCACAGAAACAAACAGATACAGTTTTACGTCACCTCAGCAGCACAGACACGGGTCACCAGTAGGGGGCGTCAGTCAGTACTACCAGTGCGGCTTGTCTTTAAAATAGATACACAGAGAAAAGACCCCATTGAAATGTATAGGCCAGTGGATCATACCGTATACTAGTAGTTGTGCTTCTGTTGTATCCATTGCATACCAGGGTAGCTTATTCAAAATAGAAATCTGTAACACATTTGACCAGTGGGACACCAAGATGAGTATTTGTGGTACTTTGGGCACATGTTAAAGTCTGTATTAAAAGCTCTGGACCAGTGACAGAACAAGTACGGATCTTTGTGGTAAAAATAGGAATGACTGTGTGTGATCAAGCACGAATCCAATTTCTTGATTTCCAGAAGAAAAAAATAAAAAGAAGAAAATGCTCTCTGGATGTACAAAAAGATTTTCGCTCCCTCCTCGAACGTAGCAGCAGCATCTGAATCCAATCGTCCAATCAGGGCTTACAGATTGGCAAGTCCATCTGGTTTGGAGCTCAGGCAGAGAGGAAAGCACAATCAAGTCCGTTCATATACATTTGCAGTGCTTTAGTCCCGAGCAGTCCGATGTAAACCCCAGCTCTATGTAGGAGGAGCCAGTCAGTTTTGCATCCAGTAGTTTTTACACAATAACATATAAACGCACCATCGCCACCATCTCTGTTTTAAATTTTACTAAAACATTTTCAACTAGAACAATTAATCAAATACTAACAGGGTTTCTCTGAATTTCAAGATCTCAGGTTTGTTTTCACAGACCGCTACTAACCTGAACCAGAGTTACAGCTTTGTCCTGTGCTTCTTCTTTTGGTGGGTAACTCATGGCTAGAACTTTAAGGGCACTATAGAACACCTTCCTCCTTTGAACAATGTAAAATTAGCAAATGGGGTCATCAAATGTAGTATTTGGGAAGTTCAAGTGGGGTGAGTTCATATTTCAAGGTCCTATATTACACAAAACTGACTCTTGTGAACTTTAAGCCATGTTTGAATGCTGGTACTTCATCAAAATCCTACTTGGAGTAGTGTTTTGTTTCATTCACACATGTTTGACTAACCCTTTATTTATATTATTAGTCTGTCTACAGCAGGCATGTCCAAACTATGGCCCGTGGGCCAAATGCGGCCCTCAGACAAAATTTTCTTGGCCCTCAGGCTTCCAGGTGAATTGGCCCAAATTATCTTGTATCAATAAAAATTTTACTTTTTACTGCAAGTTTTTTGAAAATCTACCTTGATAAATCTAATAGTTAATATTTAGTGTGTGGTTTTTAGCATGAATAAAGACAGACGGCTCATTCTAACGTGTTAAACATGCACATATTTCAATGATTCACTGTATTGAGCACCAGTCTACGGCCCTCGATCGGCCCTCTGCTTCATCTGTGTTTAGATATGTGGCCCTTGATGAAAAAAGTTTGGACACCCCTGGTCTACATCTTCAAAGCTCAGAACGCTCTATTCCACCTTGTGATGTCATGAAATTTTCAAGTTAACAGCCTCCTTTTACTATTAGTTCAGCAGAGATGCGCAATTCCAGGCTGAAACAATCCAAATGATTCTAGTGAAGTTGTATGGAGTTTAAAAGCACACTGGAGCACTTCCTGTATCAACACCACCATCACATCACACAGTGGCTGACCCATCACAAGGCAAGTGTTTATTTCTTTGAGTGAAAAAACTCAGCCTAAATATATATGTAGGGTTTGTGTAAATGAAACTAAACACAACTCTAGGTATGTTTTTGATGAGGAAACAACATTAGAACAGAGATCAGAAAATAGTGTGACATGGGCCCTTTAAACCATTGCATTGTGTTAATAAAAGTGTGTGTAGATAAGTAATGGGCCCCTTTTTACAAGTATGCCTGTGTTTGTGTCGGCTAACCTTGTTGTAGCCTGAGTGGATTTCCCTATTCCATTACCCATTAAACTTCCCGTCTGTATTAGTATTGTGGTTAGTATGTGTATTGTCTTCACTGACCTTTCTGTGTACAACATAAAAGTGCATCTAAGTTACTGGATCTCTTATTTATGAGCCTCTCCCTTGGACTCCATATATTCTCAGCTTGTTGAGTTCTCCGTTTGGTCGGCAATGAGGCTGAAAAGTTTCCCCTCATTGGCCACACATCAGGCTCTCTCCTTCTCTGTGGCGTTAGTGGACACACACATTTGTACAAACAGCGACAGGCGTATCACTCTTTCAACAAATTGCTTGTTTAGTCTGGTAAAACATGATTGGCTGGTTCATATAGCGATAAGCTAGGATGGCTTATAGATCAAAGTAAAGCACAGAGCAGACAAATGAATGCAGTGGATTAATGGGTATTTTTTACAGCATACAGAAGTGATAGACGCCGCACACAAAGTCAAATGCATTAATAGAGACCATACAATGAGACAATTCAATGGAAATAAAAAATTGTGAACAAACCCGTTATTTTAACTTAAGCTCTGAGTCAGTGGTGTGGCAGCAGGCTCCCGACATGACTGTAATGAATGAGTGTTTGTCTCAGCGGTAGACGAGTGACAGAGCTAAACATAGTGTGCCTGGATCTGTTCTGATCTCTTGTTATGTGTTAGAGAATGAGTCATTGGCTTGTTAGTTAATGTGGCTGTACACTTTAAGATTACATAGATTCACTGAAGTAATGTCTGCCACAGAGAGGTTTCCTGTCGTTGTCATGGGTGACATCATCAAACATCGGGTGAGCAGTGGTCCCTGACTTCCACATGTTGATTATGACTCAGTAAATCCTGTAGGTAACATCAGGAGCTCCAGCAGAGTGTTCAGAAGTGTCTTTATATAGAGTCCATTGTGCACATGTCTGAGGAGAGTCAGGGCTTTCTATACCACACAACACAACCCCTCAATGAAAGACCACAGAGAGGAGCGACAGCAGCAGGGACAGGGTCAGACAGGGGTGGGGCAACGGGGGGAGAAGTGGGGCCTGGTTATTGACCCTCTGGACCCCACTGGGGGGGCCCACTGAAGTCCTGGGGATGCACTTGTTCTTCCTGCGTCCCGATGGAGACAGGTCGTATTTCCCTCCATCTGGAGAGTAGTCTTTGTCATCTCGGAGGATCTGCACCTCGTTCAGGCCCCCCTTCGCCTTTCGGCCCCGGCGCGTACAGTTTCTGCGCGCCCCCTTAGGAGGCCGAGGCAGGGGCGAGGGGGAGGGCAGGCTGTACTGGTCGCCGTGAGGCAAGTAGGGCCGCTGGTGGTGGTTGTGGTGGTGTCGGTGACGGTTAAGATGATTGAGATACTCGCCCTGATCCATCTCGTGTCCTGGCACCCTTGGGTGGCCCTCCCCAGAGGAGCAGGACGGCAGTTGCTCCTTCTTCAGGCTCTTGAGGTCCTTTCCTTTCAGCTCTGGAGGGGAGGTGCACAGCAGCTCGGAGGTGGAGCCTCTGAAGCGCCGCAGCCAGTCCCACAGAGACAGGGCCTTGCAGTCACACTCCCAGGGGTTGTCATTGAGACGCAGGTACTCGAGCGCAGGCAGAAGCGTCATGCTGGAGCCTGACAGCTCTGTCAGGGAGTTATTGAAGAGGAACAGGGTAGTGAGGCGTCTCAGGTCATGGAAAGCCTGTCGGTCGATCCACTGGATCTTGTTCTGGTGCAGAAGCAGCCGGTCCAAAACCCCCAGCCCCCGAAACGTGTTCTGCCGCAGGCTCCACAGACGATTGCCATGGAGGAACAGGTGACTCAGGTTCAGCAGGTCAATGAACAAGTCGTCCTCCAGGAACTCCAGCTGGTTGTCCTGTGGCCAAGAAAGACAGAGGGTCAAGAAGAGATCCACAGGCAAAAACACAAAGAAGACATGTTTCAATATCTCATAAGTAATTGAAATGTGCTTTCCAAATGATTTCCCCCAGGCCCTTTCAGGTTTGTCACTGCAGAATCTGTACATTGTGTGTGAGTTGTGCGCATTTTATCTCACAACTGTTCAGTGTAATTTGTGACAATTAGTTTGGTTTTGTAATTGCATAAAAACATAGTTTTTGTCCTTATGAAAAAAGGGGGAAAACTAACTTGCCAGGCTGCTTTTGTTTCCGTGAAAAGGGTGCTAATTGCAATACATTTTCAACTCTATATTCAGAGGTAAAACATTTCTTTGAGACAATATGTTCTTGTTTTTCATTATACCTTTTCATAACACCATTCATAATGTGTGACAGGCTGGACCTCAGCCACAGCCCCTAACAAAAGAGAAGTGAATAGAAGCAATGCTTTTCACTCATCTCCCCACAAAACATCCATTGTCTTATAAGCTTTTGACAGTACTTTCATTTAGTCTGTTTAATATTTAGATGGAAGGATTTTATGTTATGTCTGATGTAATACCAACAAATGATAATATTATATCAAATCTACAAGAACACAAGAATACTATCATTTAATGCACTGACCTTTAACCCCCTCGCTCAATGGTGCATTCTCAATCAATGAAATGCATATGAGAACAAGCTTTTGCCCACATAAAGCTAATGTCATTATTGTAACTATATCCCAAATGCTAGCATGATTTCCCATAGTGCCAAGCGGCAGCGGTTAACCACAGCCCCACAGTTAATGGTGCATTTCCCTGCATACGGGCTGAGCAGCTGAATTTGATCAGTCTCCGATTCGTAGGCAGTAAGTGCTGAGAGCGGCTGATGGACAGATTATGGCTTAATGCGATTGTGGCTACAGTGGAGTGGAGATAAAGAGGTTGGTTATCCGTGTACTCTACCTGCAAATACAGATACTGGAGATTATGGAGGCCAGCGAAAATCCCCTGGGGTAGAGTGATCAGGCCACAGTGGTACAGGTGCAGAGCGTGAAGTCTCCCTAGCCCCATGAAGGTGTCTGCCCCCAGGGCCTTGAGGTGCTGATTGTCCCCCAGGTCCAGCTCCTCCAGCCGCTCAAATCCGTGGAAGGTGGACGGCTGGATGTAGGAGATGTTATTGGAGTAGAGCCAGAGCATGATGGTGGTGGGCGAGAAGTGTCCATTCTGCAGTTCCTTGATCTTGTTGTTCTGGAGAAAGACCCGCTCGCTCTGTGCTGGGATGCCTTCAGGGACCTTGTCAAAATTGTGTGCCTGGCAGGAGACAGTGCTTGGAGAAGTGTAGCAGATGCAGTCTGTGGGGCAAGGCATAGACAGGTCCAGACCACACAGAACCAACAGTAGCTCCAGCCCGCCATAACCTGAAAACAAAAGGGAGAGAGAGAGAGGGAGCGATGAGTAATTGAATTCAGGCTGGCTGCAGTTATCAGACTTCATCTTGAATCAAACACTCATTGGTCTCACTTTACAAGGACAACAAAAGGCAGCGCTCCAGTGTGGCCCAATGACACCCCTGACAATATCTAACACACAAATTCTCCTGATAGCTTCACATATCCGTCCCAAACAATAGCTCCATTTAACCTTTCAAACAAAAATAAGGTGTAATGGGAAATGCACATAGACTGCCAAGTTATTTTACATACTAATACATTTCAACAATTCTCCTGTGTTTAATAAAAAATGTATTGAAACAGCTGCTGAGTCACAAGGTCCTGTGCCTACATGGTTTTGCAGTATAATCGTTTTTGCCTTGAATTGCTGAGAGTTAAAAATGAGGTTTATCAGTGTTTGGGACTGGCACAAATATGACATTTAAAGCTCCTATATTACACAAAACTGACTCTTGTGAGCTTTATGTTAGAATGTTGTGGCATTTTTTGTTTTGTTTAAGTAATCCTTTTTTATAAGTCTGTCTGTATTTTCAAAACTCAAATCCTTTAAATATGCAGAGTTTGTGTATTAAATGTGTGAATGAAACAAAAAACAAGTCCAGATATGTTTTTGATGATGAGCAGAGATCAGAAAATAGCGTAATATGGGCCCTTTAAACAAAAAGCCTACTCTAAATCCTGATGTTTTTATTGATTTTAAACTCGCGCAAACTGTTTTTGTTATCTCACGATACCTGATGCCTTATTGATGTGGTCTTATGGTTAATGCAAGCTCACACAGCCCTATTTTGTAAAGTGCTGTTGTCCACATCACACACAGACACACACACACGCATATCTGAAATCGCTATAAATCACATTATTAACGATTGTCACAGAGAAATGCACATTTATACTGACTTCTTTTATTTGCCCTATTTTGACAACACAATGCAACTCACGGCATCCTCTCACCCACCGCACAGCAGCTTTCTTTTCTTTGGTGATTCTTGGAAGGTGACAGAAAATCAATGGTTCTCCCTGCTTACAAGCACACACCACCTGTAATACATGGACCCTCAATAACAGCCTGTGCTATAGTGCGAGAAGTAAGTAGGAGTGACAGGTATAGATGTGACCATACATACAGCAAAACAATAGGACCACCTTCTTGTTATGTAGCCCCATATACATGAAACTTAAACTGTGTAGAAGTTTGAGCCAAAGCACGCTTCTTTCAAAAAAGAAAGAAAAGGATTATTTTAAGTTCTAAAATATTACGCAAAATTGACTCTTGTGAGCTTCAAGTCATGTTAGAATGTAGTTACCTCCTCCAAAACATACCTAGAGTTGTGTTTTGTTTCATTCACACATGTTGGAGTAACTCTTCACTTGTCTGTCTGCATTTCCAAAGCTCAAAATAATACTCAGTCCCACCTTGTGATGTCATGTAGTGGTAGTTTTCAAGTTAACAGCTACCTTTTAACTTTTATTCAGTAGAGATTGGCGATTCCAGGGCTGAAATCATCCAAAAGATTCTATTGGAAGTGAAGTTTAAAACCACAATGGAGCTCTTCCTGTATTGGTGGTGTTAAAATTTTAGAATGTGATCATGTCATACTCCAAGATGGGAGGCAAGGGCTAGTTTCCCCTATTGATGACACTGTACTTTGCCCTGACATATCCAAAAGGTGAATTCAGTAATGTTTGACCTGATCATTTCAATTACCATATTTTCCGCACATAGGGCGCGCTCATAAGCCTCCACCCGCAAGAAAAATGACTGTGCGCCCTGCAATCCAGAGCGCCCTATAGACAAATCCACTCGGGTGTCTCAGCACGACTTCAGTAAACTACAAAGCCGCACCACCCACAGCGCACGCAAACAAGCACGGAGCAGACAGCGAAAAACACCCACAGCCACACTCATCACTCCACACGGACGAGGAACGGAACGGAGGAACGAACCGAAAAAGCGAGTCAAATGTGCCACAACTGAACAGCTGAGTCACTGCGAACACGCCAACAATCCAGCGGTCCCAGACAGCACCCTCCCTTCATGCCACAATTGAACAAAGACGAGAGTCACCGTGAACGCGCCAAACAAAGTCCGACTCACCCATCCAACTGTTGTGTTTCGTTTAAAGTCCGGTGCGGTTTATTTGTGAAAAAAGTTCGAAAATAGACCATTTAATGACAGTGCGTCTTATAATCCAGAGCGTCCTATAGTGCAGAAAATACGGTACTGTCTAGACCCAAGAACTCGATAATATAGGAGTATAGAATGTTGTGATGTCATATGAAACCCACAGTTACCACATGACATCACAAGGTGGAACAGAGTGTTTTCTAAATATGCATGCAGGATTTGTGTGAAAGAAACAAAACATAACTAAAGGTATGTAAAGGTAGGTAAGAAAATAATACCATAACACAACATGGGCTCTTTAAATACTGACAGTACTATACTATTAACAAATCTTAACTAGCTCTTTTACTACACTGGACTAGCCTTCACTTCGCTCATTACACGTTTCCAGCTCCCTTTAGTGGTTGTAATGATCTGGCTCTTGTGTATGTATTGCAAGTGCGTCATCACTGCGGACAGATGTGATAGACAGATGTCAGGCTGACCGCTGCAGCGATGTGATGGACAGGCTGTTCTGGGACCACATTGCAGGACACAGACGCATTATCCCTGCGCCGTGACTGCTTGTATAACCAGGCCCGTACAGGTAAACAGACAGCGTATTTATGACCGTATGTGGAGCTTCCTGCCAGGGCGCCTTGAAGAAGAGCAGTCTGACCTTTTCAAGAAAGCGGAGAAAAGTGCAAGCCGTCCAACTTTCATTACTCCCCCAACTGTAGAAACAACAAATCGATGATGTGCAAACCTGTTTAACAATTAGCCTGGAAGCATTTGCTAAATTATAATGATTTTGTGCAAATGTTAGAGCTTGTCAAATGGCAAGGCATTGAGTCTCCTCTGCGCTGGTCCTCGTATAGACAAATACCTGCTCCTCTAGTCTCAGTCCTGTGTTGAGTGATATTGTCTTTCCGCTGGGATGAGCTTAAGGGCTTCCACAACTCACAGTGGAAGTGGTATGAATGCATTATTTAAATTCCTTGTCTAGACAGAGCCGGATCTAATCTCAAAGTTCAGAGGTGAAGACAGTTGATATTTTGAAAAACAAATATATATTTATTTAACAAATATCATCCACAAACTTGTCTATAAGAATTATAAATATTGTTTGGCTGTTTTTCTGCTAAATTATGCAACAGGATTTCATAAACTTTCAGAATTAGGGGGGGGGGTTTAAGATAACTTCAAAAGTGTTAAGGCGTAAGAAATTATTAATAATAAATAATAATGCCTTAAAATCATGTAGTTGTTATTGCTTGGTCTAAAATGTTTGAGTTAAACCTTTCGATCATCATCAGACCAAACCAGACTAAGTTACAGGTCTGATCTGTGGAAAGGCAAGGTCGCTCACAGTCAAAATGCCTGTTTTGGTTTAGTATTTTGGAGCAATAAAACCACCTGTACTTGAATAAATGTAAGGTAGAGCTGTTTAATGACATACTGTTTTGTTACTTTGGTTTAAAGACTTGAAATGACTTGAGGCTCAAAGCAGATGACTTGGACTTGACTTGGACTTAAGGGCCAGTGACTTGAGACTCAACTTGGACTTGCCTGTATTTGACTTGGAACTTGACTTGGACTTGAGGTCAAAGACTTGAGACTTACTTGAGACTTGAAAAACAAAGACTTGGTCCCACCTTTGCAAAACTCACAAAATGAGTGAAAATGCCAAATCTGTTGCATAAAAAACATTCCTTCCTCCAAACAAGCAACAAAACTGTAGCGCTGTAACAAATTTTTTTTGTAAAATATACCCAAAAATACTCTTGGAGATATATACAGCAGCCCACAATATCAATACTGTATCATCACATTTAACGATACAATATATTGATATTCCGATATTTTTGGACACCCCTAGTTAATTGTATTTCTTTATAAGAAGCGGTAAATAGCAAATAGCTGGTAAGAGTGGTAAGAGTATATGTTATGACTAAACAATGAAAAAGTCAGGTTACCTTACAAAAAATGTCATCAAAAAAAAAAAAAAAAAAAAAAAAGAAACACCTCTAAAATAAAAGCAATGCCTGAGGTAAAATGATAACATATGTGTATTTTCTAATTACAAATTAGCTTAAACAGGCAGGTCAGAGTCAACCAAAGGGTGTGGCCAGGGAACTGTACAATGCCCAGATCTGTGATGGATCCCCAACAGAAAAGTTACATAGTGCACCTTTAATCAATCTTTGGACAAACAGATTTTTGTCCTGGTTTGGTTCAATGACTACACTGCACACACAATCTACAAAACAGCAAGTCAGTCAACTGCCAGCGAGAGTATTGTTTTTAATAATTCAACAAATAAGTAAAAAAAAAAAAAAAAAAAAAAAATCCCAAATAATGAAAAACAAAAAAATGATTTGGATACAGAACAAACTTCATACTTTTCAGTTTTGTTTTTTTGGGGACTTGGAATTTTAATTTTCCACACAATTATGCAATTATTGAGTGCAAACTACAATCAAAATCCCTCATTTAAAAAAAAAAAAAAAAAATCTATCTCTCATTATTTCTCTTTTGTTCTTGTGAGATTATTCCAGGTCACTCCACTCTGTCCTCTCTTCTATAATTGTATATGCTGTTTTTACTATTATAAAGTCCACCGTCGTTTGCCTTTCAGATCCTTGGGGTATCAAACAAATGTTATCTCCTCTTTTCCTCTCTGCTCTATCTGTCCATCTGCTTTGGCCTTAGCTTCGTGCTTTTGCGTCGTGCTTCGGTACACTCCTCCGCAGTGCTAGCTTGTTTGCTCCCCCTGCTGAGCCTGTTAATTATGTAAAGATGTGCCGCTATAGGCTACTGCTCCCTCCATCACAACATATGGGCCCATGGTAAAGTCTACGTATAGTTTCTGGCACTTAAACACAACATTTGTTTCCGCTGTGTTAATGTCAGGAACTCTAACCTGCTCTCTTCGA